GGGGGGGGGACTTGGTGATGGGGGGAGTCTAGTAAACATAATGTTCCTCATGTAACTAGGATTAATGATACCAAAATAAAAAAATATAAATAAATATAAATAAATAAATAAAACTGTAACCCTAATAGCAGGGCAGTTCTGGTTTCCAGACAGCCCACTCTGCACTCTTTTCGAGAGTGTGCTTCACTTTGCTTAATAAACTTCCACCACTTAAGACTGTTCTGTGTCTGTCTCTTGATTGAATTCTTTCTCACAAGGACTGAGAAAACAAAACTCACTCAACACGTAGCAGTGTTACTCTGCCTAAAGCCTCCCCAAGCCTCTCTGGGCGTCTCCAGGGACTATCTTAGATGTGTCCTTAAACAAGTCCCATCTACCACAATCCACTAGAACGCAGTCTTCATGTGGCTCCTTGGATGACATTATCAAACAGGTTCAGAGGCAAAGAGGGAAAATAGCCTGTCCAGATGGCTGCTGAGATAATTTGTGTGAGAGGACTCAGGAGGTACCTCTTTGGGGTTCCCAGAGACAACTGGGGAGACATTTGGATATTCTACACAATCAAGTGAGGATAGTCAGAGAAATACACTGCTTATTTTGGGGGTCACTGTGGCTACCAGCCTCACAGCAGGAGCTGCTCCCTGCTATTGACTGCCAGGAGTCACACGGAGCCTGAACCACATGGCACTGCAAGTGCCCTGTGGATGGAAAGAACACACTTCCACACATGCACACCTGTACCACTGCCTGAACCAATGATCCCCAAGCAGGGCTGCGCTGTCCCGCCAAGGGTTCAGAGGTTTCGTTGACAGATCCCTGCTTTCCGTGCTATGAGCCGTGGCTCTCTCCTAGGACTCAGAGGAAGCCAAGAGCTGACTCAGGATGAGCTCTGGCCCAGACTCTGTACTGCTCTGCATTCCTCTGGCTGCCCCTTAGGAATGATCTTTTTTTAACCCCACAAGCATGCTCCCACCTCTCGCCTTTGCATGATCACAGGTCCTTTGGAATCCATAATCAGCCATCTCAATACACGGCTTGCTTTTCACTTTGAAACTTTACAACTTGAAACCCAGGGAACTAAACTTTGCCCTCTGTCAAACTGCATCTGTTAACTGTTAGATACTGCAGCACTGAATTTTGCTGTGCAATCATCCAGTTGTAATACAATAAGTGTGAACCTTCCATCTAAAATATTTCATAAAATTCTCCAGGCATCAAATTATTGAAAGCCCAAGCCACTGATCAGGTTGTAAAACTGTGTAATTCTCTCAAGTATCAGAAGTAGTTTAAAATTAAACTGAAAACTATATTAGGATAGATGTTAATTGTGATTCATAACCCAGCATGGAAAAGCCCATGGAGAAAATGCATCCCTGAACTCTTAATTCCTAGAGTTCTTCCCTCTTAAGTCAGAGGACCAATCATCTCTTTGCTGACCTACATGGCCAGGAAGTGCTCATTTGTTATTGTTTTTACTTCCAAACAGTAGTTTATCATAACATACTTAATCGTATTATCTGAAAGAAGTACCTCAGCCTTGTATATTGACACAACTAACTGTAAATGTACCAGAGAGAAAGGTCCCATACAATCTGGTCATTTTTGGTTACAGTACTTATGGGAAAAAAACTCTTAAAATTCTCTGTGACATGAATTAATTAAGTTCTCTGTAAGAGCTCTTGTTGAATTACAGCTGACAATAGTATGAACAGCAGTCATACCACTGAATTCTTTCCTGATCCAGCTTCATAATTCACCCTCTCCCATATGTCCTCTTTTCTTAAATTTAGAAGGCTTTTCTTAATAACAGTCACTTATGAGATCCTAATTGAGGATGTAAGGAGAAAGTTTAATAGCTGTTCCAAGACTCATGACACTGAACAAACGTGGATTTTAACAGTAAAAAATTTAGGATTGAGTGTAGCTTCCATCAGACACTAGATGCATTATCCTAGGAAAATCACTTGCTTTCTTTGAGTTTTAGCTTCTCAACTGTCAGTTGTTCAATAGATTCAGTCATTTGTAATCACTTTTATTATCTTTTAAAGTCCCCTTTAGGTACTGAGAGAGAGAGAGAGAGAGAGAGGGAGAGAGA